TTCATTCTCACGCAATCTCCCCATTTTCTTTTTTTCCCCTTTTTTTTCACCCTTTCTTCCACGCTTTCCTACCTCTCGATCCCCCTTCCCCTTCTCCCCCTCCCCACCTTTTTGTCTCTCCTTTTTTCGTGTCTTCTTCTCAAAAAATCCCCCTGCCACCGCAGTCACTTCTCATCCTACTTTGCGTCAACAATGACGACCGTGACCACATAAGAGAGACGGCCTTGGAGATATCGGCTTGCGCCTTTCTCACGTACCTCGCCACTCTTGCATTCTTAGCACTGCTGTTCTTCATTGCTTCGCTTCCTAACGATCGCGTCAGCCAGCATAACTCCATCGCGCAACAGGATGAGCAAGCGCAGTTCCGCAACAATTCGATTCTACGACAGCCTTCTGGTGATGAGTTGGCGCAGTGCAGAGCGCCTCGAAAGGATCGTTCACGACATCCCCCCCATCTTCCCCAACCTCCGCCCACTCCCACCACTACCCCCCCTACACCTCCTGCCTCTCAGTCCACACCTTCCGACAACAAAGGAAGGTGCCCCCTCTGAAGACGCCGCCAGTGGCAGGCGACAGAAAGGCCTCAGGGATGTGCCACCCCTCCTGTGGATCTGCTTTGATGACCCGTGCGTTGGAAACACAGAAATCGGAGTCACGGAATGGCACGGTGCAGGACTTCTTTTCTCTAACCCTTATTCTCTACCCCTTTCCCGTCACTCCTCCGCTTCTACTTGACGCAGTTTTGAAAAACCATACTCGCTGGAACTTGTAATCAATGACAATTTGCTACTATCTTTTGGCGAACTATGAGTGATTGATCCTGAATTGCTTTCTCTCAAGTGTGAGCATGTCTTTTTGTGATCTCCGCAATGATCAGTCACTCTCTGAATGATGAAATGGGTGATAGATGATTATCTTGTTGCCTTGTGTTTTTTTTTGCTATTTTTTTTGGTTACCATACTATAAAAGCAGTTCGACCACCTACTACCTCCATGATCCGGTGCGAGAACAAGAAGCGCAGGCACATGGGGCCAAGGGCGAGAAAAGCTCGATCGATAACGAGCCAGATAGGATGTTATTATGCTCTTGTGAGAACTCAAGTGAATTAGTGTAGAACCCTCGGATAATTCATCATCCTCCACTCTAATGGATGTGTGTATTTTTATTAGTAGCAGAGCAGCTAACACACCAACCTTCAGGATCCAGTGCCCCCCCCTGTTTCTGCACGAGCTCATGGAGCAGGTAGAAGCTAGCTCAAGTAGTAGGTAATGGGAACGGCATGAGTAGAATGTTTCTTTTTTGAGAAAACTCTGCCTACTCTGATTTCTGATCAATGAAATCCTTACCTGACATGAATGATCTCTTCCCCCTTTGAGACCCCCTAAACACCGATCGAGGTTCTGACGCAAACAACGTGACTTGGTATTTACCTTGCCAGTCATTGCGGTCATACGAGAGAGGAACCCCCATCGGTGATTGAGATGACGATGGTATTGATTAGGACTGTTGTTCTATGAAGAAGAGGCTACCCCAGAGGAACGATGCTTTGCCCCCACTCGCAGCTATGCTTTTTTTAAAGAAAAACGCAGAAGGATCCTTACCTTAGTAGACGCAGTACCTACCACGACAAGGGAGCATACCATACCTGCGCAGTTACAAGGTGTTAAGATGCGCCGATGATGTATCATCGGAGTAGATAGGATGGTAGTGGAACTTCATGCCATCTCATCACATATGTATCTAAACACACACACACACACACACACACACACACACACACACACACACACACACATCCCCTCGACAATATCCACCACACCAAGCTTATCCGAACCCCCACAACCAACCATCCCTTAAACCACAACACCGGCCCTTCTAAGAACACCCCCACCGTATCCAATCAATCCCCAGACCAAGCGCTTCCTTAGATCTCAGACCTGCCCTACAAATCACATCAGCCCAACTTATGGAAACTACCACCAATGCCAGACTAACAAACAAAGAAAAATTAAGGTAGACTTCAGGATTCTAGCACCAATATAAGGATAAGATCTAAATCGCAGTTGAACAGGCTAACTTAGGCAGGGGTGAAGGATGAAGGATGATGGTACATCCTTCCTACCTACGGGAAGTAATCAATGCCGTCCTTCGGTCCTCCACACCTTAAGGGGGAGGAGCGTGAGTGAGTAATTATTGTAATTCCTTCCGACTTGCCGGTGGAATAGGAACCGGACTGACGCTCCCCAGAATGGACAAGAGCCGGAACCATAAGGTCCTGTTTTCAAAAAAAAAAAAAAAAAAAAAAAAAAACAGAGGGGTAGGCCCCATATTGCGCGCTGTAGTTTTGCTCGACAAGCATTGTCCTCATCTTTATCTTTACCAGAGATTAGAATCGAGTCTATCAGAGTCTCAGCTTAAGCTGGTTGTCAAAGTCTCAGCGTTATATGGCTGTCAGGATCTCAGTTTGCCAGTCGTGCCTGTCAGAATTGCAGTTTAGCCTGTCTGTCAGAATCTCAGTCTAATCCCTGTTTAATCTGAATGAATGTCAGAATATCAGATTGACCTGGCTGTCCGAATCTCAGTTTAATCTGTATGTCCTATTCTCAGTTTCACCTGGCTGTCAGAATCTCAGTTTAACCTGGCTGTCACAATCTCAGGTTAACTTGGCCGGTTAACGTAGCTGTTGTTAACAGTGTTAAGCCTAAACTGAACTGTGTGTCAGAGTATCAGTTTAAACTTTAAACTGGCTGTCAGAACAGAATCGCCGTTGACCCTGGCTGGGCTGGCAGAATCTCAGTTTCAGCCGGCTGACAGAACTTAACGTGAACCTCAGCGTAACCTGGCTGTCAGAATGTCTTCTTAACTCGGCTGTCAGAACCTCAGCCTGACCTGGCTCTCGGCTGTCTGTCAGAACCTCAGTCAATTATTAAATCTCCATTTCCTTGTTGAGTGATTGCACAATCAATCAATCAATCAATCAATCAATAAGTCGATCAATAATCAATCAATCAATCAATCAATCAATCAATAAGTCGATCAATAATCAATCAATCAATCAATCAATCAATCAATCAGTCAATCAATAATTGGTTGAAACATGAAAGACAAATCATTTAATTAATGAATGACGGATTGGACGATTAATCATTCCTTGGGCGTTTATAGTTTGAATGAATGACTCAGTCAATCAATCAGTCACTTCCCTTCTTCTTCCTTACGCATGCGGGTGTGCACATGCCTTGATCCCGTGCATGCATGAGCACACAGGCACGTACAAACAGTTTATTTATACTCTTCTTCTTGGCGGTGTTTTCTATTTGCTCCGTGGTGTAGCTGTTTCCCGTAGTGCCGACGCCGAGTACCTTGAAGTTGTGCTAAATAGTCAGTGCTTGTTTGTATGAAAAAAAAAAAAAAAAAAGGTTGTTTCAAACAAACTAACTTTTACTAAGTTTTTAGTGTGTGTGTGTGTGTTTTTTTTTAACTTACTTCTTTTTACCATTTCCGGCTTTGACAGAAGAGATTTGTTTTTTCCTTTCAATTTTCAAACCTTTTTTTTTTCTAGTTATATATCTATATATATATCGTCAAATATATATATTGTCAAATATATATATTGTCACATCACTACATTAACCAAACAAAGCAGATATCATATAACCGGGAAACAGGCCCGGTGTCCCTTTCATCATTTGCTGCGCCCAAAGGCACTCTCTGCCAAACCTATCCCTACCGCAGCCCTCACAAGGTGATGACCACCACTCCCAATCCCAACCCTAAAACAAAAGTCGCCTTCCCTAATTTAAGAAACCGAAATCCCAATCCACCCCTTTTCTCCAAACCGCCATTTTTAATTCACCAGTACTTCCTAAAGCCGTGCCCGTTAACGCTACGCAATTTTAGGAAACGTACGGGCCACTACAGGAGCGCCCAAATTCATCCAACTAGGAACGTTTCTACTCTATTTTTTTCCGCGGCCGATAGCTGGGCCAAGTACTCGTGGTTTAATCAACCCTACCCTAAACCCTAAACCCTAATCTAGCAAAATCCAAGCCAGGTAACAAATCACCAACCAAAAGGCTTAGCACGAAAATCCTAATTACCCACAGCCACAATCCCAAAATGATTCACAAAGTTCCTCAACTCTAAACCCTTTTGAAGGTTGTAGGGGACAACTCGCATTGATTGATTGTATCCTTTTTGCTTCCCCCCCCCCCAGCAAAGAGCTAGAATCGCCGAAGCCGAAGTACATGCTGGTGCCAGTGCGAAAACTCTACATTTAGAACTGACACAACAAATGACAGCTCATTGACGTGGGGTCAGGGGGGGCGATGGTGGGGCGGTGGGGCGGTCGTTGAAAGCTTAAACTCAATGTATAAAGTACTATAAACTGACCGTAGATCGTCGGTTTGTGGTGAACTGCTGATGCTTGATGCTTCATTGCACTAAATATTGCATAGGAAAGTAGTAAATTTGTTGTTCTTCATGTGTAGATAATAGATATACAGGTTTGGCATCACACTCTTATTCCTGAAGAGCACCGACCTCCTTGCCTTCACCCTCCCCTCTCGCAAAAAAA